GCCGACCTATCTCTAAAATGGTTCAGGGGTGTTACATGTGGTACCGTAAAAATTTCAACTATGTCATTTAACTAAGTTCTCTTTGTTTTCCCTATCAGTTTTTATTCAAGTCTTTTTAGCATGCGGGGACGTGGCCTAGCACCTTCCTTGTTCGGTCCGCAATCACCTTCTTTCCTTTTTTTTTTGTTTTTCGACTTTCTTTCTCTTGCTCTTTACGCTTTTTGTGGTCTCTTTTCTTTCTCTTTTTTGCTCTTCTTTTTATTGAGCGTTGGAGATTCGTCAAAGACACTTTCCAATCGTGGTCTTCACGTGTTTGTTAATTGTGCAGATGAGTATCTACCGTAGTTGTTAATGTGTTTGGTCCCGTAGTCAAATATTAGAAGTTTTTATACAAGAGATGAGATTTGATTCCAAAAAATACAAAATTTAGTAGAGATTTTTGAACGTTGCGGATAAAACCGTCTATTGTGATCTCATGTGTCGCGAAAGATATGAATATCGTATAAATAGAAATGTTTATCATAATTACATATGTTACAGGTAGTTAAATTTAATCGACTGATCTACTAGATTCGCCAACCCAAAAAAATACTAAACTCGAAGTCATTTGAGTACAGAGTACAGACTGATTTGTTTAGTGAAGGAGATATTATTTTATTTGTATTTTGTACTTCCGATCGCTCTCTAGAATAAGAAAGTTATACTGTCACTTTTGCGCGGAATCGGAGAAGGAGACTATTGTTAAAGATCTGGAGTTTCCTGATCAAACCTTCTTTGTCAATTTCGTTGATTGATTGATCTGGATGAGTATGGTGGATGCGATTGTTACCGGAGACATGGCTTGTCTGGATGCAGATTTGTTGCAGCTACAAGAGATGTCTTCCTTTGTGCTTAACTCAAAGCCCGGATTCACACAGAAGCTCTTCGACCAATGGCTTTCTCTTCCCGAAGCTCATCGTCAGGTATTACGATTCGGATTTCCATTTGTTGGGTCTCAACTATCTTCTGCTTCGTAGAACCCGAATCTTTGATAGATACTATTGGTTTTTCTTTGGTTTGGTTCATTAGTGGAATCTCAAGTCTCAACTTTGTTTTGCTCCATTTCGAATCGGTTTCCTAGATTGCATCATTGCTTCATGATGCCATGGCTGGAGCTCAGATTAATGTTCCTGGAAGTGCATCTGCTTCAAGTTCCGCCACCGTCAATTCTTTACCATCCATGTTTACTGCGGGAACTGCTCCTCCCCTTTCACCAAGGAGTTGTGGTTCACCTCGTACCACGAAACACAGACCTGGCCCTTCTAACTTAGGTTCTTCGCTAAGAGTAACCAGTGAACCTGTTAAAGACCCAATGCCTCAGGTTTCGCTAAGTGCATATCTCTTTTTTTTTTCTTGCTAATGGAGTAATAACACAGATATTAAACATTGAAATAATTGTAGTTTTATTTTCACAATGGTCGCCCACCACCGAGCGAGATAAAAGAGCAATGTATGTTTAGAATCAACCATTTTTTCTATGGTCACATGGATGGACTGCAGATACAAGGTAAGTAGTCAGAAGCTATATAATATTTAAAGTGACAACACCTGCACGAGCTGCCTTATTAACTCTCTCTAACGCTTTTTCATACTCAGAGTTCAAATTAGTCACCCGAGAAATCTGCAAGCTCCCATCTTTCTTCTCCACTTCACTTTTCAGGAAGATTGATGTCAATAATACAGGTTTTGTTACTAGGTATGTGCTTCTATGCTTTTTGTATGTTGGAATCTGATGTGCGCATTGTTTTCACCGTACTTCCAGCTTCCTGCTCATTTAAAGTCACTCTGTCATGAGTTTGGTGATCAAAGTATAACAATCTTTTAGTGTTTGATTATGCAGAGAAGCATTTATTGATTATTGGGTAAACGGGAACATGTTGATAATGGATACAACAACCCAAATCTTTAAGATACTAAAGCAGCAAAATCAGAATTTCATTGCTAAGGTCATTTTCTTTTGATTGTCATGATAGCGAGTAAATTTCCCAATCTCCTTGCTCTTATGTTTGCTTTTCAATTTCACCCTCTTTTTTTCTTTCTGGCAGGATGATTTCAAACCACTACTTAAAGAACTGTTGGCCACACATCCGGGACTAGAGTTCCTGCAAACCACACCTGAATTCCAAGAAAGATATGGTTAGGTCTCAACTTCATATTCATTCAAGTCAGTATCCTATTTTATCTCATGTTTTATTTCCGTATTGATAGACGTTGAGTTATGGTGTTTAGTAATTGAGCAGGAGTTTGGTTGAAGATTTTGTTAGCTACTGTGCTAGTTGAGAAGAATGAGTGAATAAGTCTGTTCTTTGTGGTATAATGACTTATCTAAATCTGTAAGATGGTTACCACATCAACCGTATTACTAGATAACTAAGATAATTTGATAATTGATGCATCGAGATGATAATTGATGCATCAAGATGATAACGTGGCATTACTATGCATTTTATTTGAAATAACATTTCTTTGTTTTGTTAGACATCTTCTTATAACTTGCAATTCCATAGAACTTGCAAGCACGACATGAATCATCTTCTATGCAGAGGAAGATTATTGTTCTCTCCAATAGGTCTATGACTACTGTAGGGGTTTTCCACAGAATCACGCTTGTTATATAAGAGAAAATGTGGATCAATTTGCCCACTTTTGTTTATCTTATTATATAGTATATTCTGGAACTTCGTTATGAATCATGTGTCAGTTGGTAATGAAATTAGGTGAACACTTTTATTGTTTGCTACGTCTACAGTCCAAATCCTGTGCTATTTGTTGCTATTGTTGAATATGGTGGGAATCAAAGTTGCCTTTTTGAGGATGCAATTTTATTTTTGTCTGATACAATGTGTATTTTGATTGGCCAGCTGAAACTGTCACCTACAGAATATTTTACTACATAAATAGATCTGGAAATGGTCGACTCACATTTAGGGAGCTTAGACGGGGAAACTTAATTGATGCAATGCTCCATGCTGACGAAGAAGAAGATATCAACAAAGTGTTGAGGTACTGACCAAAAGAGCCCGTGCTGTTGTTGTATAAATGGTTTTGTGTCACTTCTTTTGACATAAATACTTATCTATTTACTTTGGCAATTAGGTACTTCTCATATGAGCATTTCTATGTCATATACTGCAAGTTCTGGGAGCTGGATACGGATCACGATTTCTTGATTGACAAAGAAAATCTTATGAGATATGGAAACCATGCTCTTACTTACCGGATTGTCGACAGAATATTCTCCCAGGTTTTGTCTAAAAAGTCTTGATCTAATAGCATGATTCTTAGTGCATACTTCCCTAAGACTTCTGTCCTTCTTGTTCTAAGTTATTAGTTGTCTGAAGATGACTGTCATAATGGGTAAGACATTTGTTTATACTCAGGTTGCTCGGAAGTTTACTAGCAAAGTTGAAGGGAAAATGGGGTACGAGGATTTTGTCTATTTCATACTTGCAGAAGAAGATAAATCGTCAGAGCCTAGCCTTGAATATTGGTAACCTGTGATATAAGGATCGAAAGGTGCCTAGCATTCTGAGTGTATTTTTAGTCTGACATAAGTATATATTGGACTAGGTTTAAGTGCATAGACTTGGATTCAAATGGGATTCTTACTCGAAATGAGATGCAATTCTATTATGAGGAGCAGTTGCACCGAATGGAGTGCATGGCGCAAGAGGCTGTTCTTTTTGAGGATATATTATGTCAGATAATTGATATGATCGGACCAGAGGTTGAACTATATGTCTCATGTTATTGTGGTTATTATGTGCTTAAGCTATTCTATGTTATTGTAGTTGAATGTTTCCAGTCATCTTTCTGACTCATTACAGTTTTGTTGTTTGTGTTTGATTGTTTCGTGTTATTTCCACAGAATGAAAGCCACATAACACTACAAGACCTGAAGGGTTCCAAGCTCTCTGGAAACATGTTCAACATCCTTTTTAATCTTAATAAATTTATGGCATTTGAAACACGGGATCCGTTCCTAATTCGCCAGGTACTTGTTTTGTCTGATATATTTAACCTTGCTTGGATCTTGAGTTAGGCATCTTATAAGAAACAGAAAATGTCAAACGGAAACAGGAACGGGAGAACCCTACATTGACGGAGTGGGACCGTTTTGCGCATAGAGAATATATCAGGCTATCAATGGAAGAAGATGTTGATGATGCGTCGAATGGAAGTGCTGAAGTTTGGGATGAGTCAGTGGAGGCACCCTTCTAGGTAAGTTTGAATGGAGAATTTCATTGGAGCTTAGTGGAGGAAGGAAAGTGAAAATCAAAGGATGCTCTGCTTCAAGAATGGTTCTCAGGTCATTTCAGGGGAGTGAAAAGCCGGTATTGAAAGCAAAGTTAAGCTGTGTGTTTAGCTGTTGTTGAAAAGTAGTATTTAATTATATTTATTAATAATCGTCTAGCTCATCAGGGCTTGAAAAGTAGTATTCTTCACATTCTATCTGTGGGTTTGTATTTTTCATCATCGAATTGTGAAAATCAATGACATGTATTATTTGGTTGGTTGGTGTTTATAGAAGGACAAAATCCCGAATTTGATCCTAATCAATCAGGATTAACCAAGCGAGCTAAGGATTTTAAAATGTAAAATTGTGGTATGATATGAATTGAAAACCGAACCAAGCCAACCTGGAAATGTAAATGTAGAGAGAGAGAGAGACGTAGCTGAGATGAGATGGTAAGGTCGTAAATAAATTCGAAAGCCAAGGGTAATCACAAGTCCTCCTCCCTCCAC